ATTTGGAGTCGATCTAGCAATGCCCTCCGTCCGCCCGTCTGTCTGGCTGGCTGGTGGGCATGATGACTCTCGAAGGGAGTATCTGATTTGGTCCAATTTTAGTGCACCGATTTTGCTCCAACTTTGTAAATCCTAATATTTGAATCAGTGTTAGGTCAAAAGCGAAAATGGACAATATCGGTCCACTCTACCAAGTACCTCCCACACAAAGGGACCAAATTTTGAAAAATTATATCTCTAATAAAATGTGATGTAGGACTCCGATTGTCTTCAAATTACAATGTTTTTATTAACTAAAGGCCTGGTGTGAAGATGGAATATATCGGTCCACTCTTTCTGATACCTCCTCCACAAAGGGTCATCATTTTGAATACCCATTAAGGTCATAAAACGCTAAATTAACATCCGGTTCCATTCAGACTTGGCACATATGAATACTTGTATCAGCACAAGATCTATTATAAAGAAGGTCGAGATCGAACCAGTTCTTCTGGTACCTCCCCCACAACGGTCGAAGTTTTGAATAACCAAAACGATTATAAAACCCGTAATATGCATCCGTTTCTTTTCATATTTTAAACATCCCATTATTTCTACAAAGTAAAGATCTGATGTGAAGATGAGATATATCGGTCCACTCCTTCTGGCACCTCCCACACAAATGGTAAAAAGTTTGAATATCCCTGAAGCTCATAAAACGCGAAATTAATATCCGATTCCATTCAGATTTAGTACATCTCAATATTTCCATCATACATACATATATATATATATATATATATATATATATATATATATATATATATATATATATATATATATATATATATATATATATATATATTTCTCATAACCAAAAACCTAAGATGAATATGGAATGATTTTGCATAAAATTGGATATTTTTTGATTTTTTTTCTCGTATCACTAATTGTTTCACTATATAAGTATATTTCACATTTATATTTCAACATTTTCGAAAAATATCCTACAAAGAGCAGGAAGCAACCAATACGGTCCAAACCTTGAACATCGCAATATTTATATCATATTGATTTAGGTGCGATACAAAATGGTCAATATTGGCCCATTCCTTCGAAAACTACTCCAGAGAGGGTCAACAATTTAAACAATCATAACAGAAGTCAAAATATATTTTAATAATCGAACATTGGATGACTGATAACAATCACAACAATTTCATTGCAATTGTTTATGTATATTTACTTGATATTACTTTGAGGTCTATATCTTCGAATTTTCCCACAACTAACGTCATTTACCACCCCAATGTCCATTGTTGTATTGTCGCAAGACATCTAGGTCTTTGGTAGCAGAGTGTGAATACGATAACGCAAAAGAAACAAAAACAATAGCTAAGCCATGTTAATGATTATGTTCTCGTGGTTATATTAGCTTTGCCAGGCAATGTGGTTAAAAGACACGGAGCAAAAGATTCTTAACTTGTCTTTTATTCCATGTTTTTCCTTACCCGTCCCGGAGGTTAGTTGTCGACCAGAGCGAAAGAGAGAGAGATACGTTAGTCAAACAGATGTTCCTTCTGGTCGAAGTGCTATATTGTTGTGTGATCACACGGATGATAGGAGGAACAAACAAAAACATGTATTTTGTAATATATGTACATATATACATACATACATATTATTGACAAAGTATGTGTGTTTATGGCTTGTACGAATGTTGTTACAACATTAACGGTTTACTGTTGCCTGATAATGCACTTTTTCATTTTCCAATCGTTTGATTTCAAAAAAAGGCGATAATCATTGGGAATCTTTTAAATTGACGTGAAGCGAAAAATAAGAGGCTTTGGGACATGGGAGGATTTTTCTTTTTAATTTTCATGAGAAAAGATCTAGTGTGTTATGAAAATTCTTAGATAAGCTGATAAATTCTTTTTCACACAATTTTATGATGGGGAATGTTCAGTTAAATTGGGAACAAAGATTTCAATGTTTACGATTTGTGGTATCAGAAAGAGTAGAACGGTAAGGTCCATATTTAAAATTAACCTAAGTTGAATCTAAATTTGGGAAATGCTGACAATTTTTCCGGTTACTAACTTTGATAGTTACGTATATTCGTTCAAAGCAATTTTGGGCCCAGAATCTTAACACCGATGAAGAACGGTGTGAACCTAATATATGTAGATATAAGTCTGAATAAAATTTTATATTAGAATGTGCTAAATCAGGGCCAAATCGAGGAACTTTTCACCTTAAAGGAAATTCACCATAATTTACAATTTCTCCTTCTCAAGATTATTACTATTCTGACAATTTTAGTACTTTTTGCATGATTTTTTTTTACTAGATCATACCATATACGGGTACCTCCTGATAATCGGTATTTTGACGATTTCACAAACACTTTCTTACGAAAATTTGATATTTAGATGTCGCAATGGCCCACGTTTTCTTATAGACTTCTAAATTTATAAATGCCACATGTTCAGTATTTTGGCGATTTTAGCAATATTTTCCAACGATTTTATTTAAAATTGGATATTTATGGTTAGAAATAAGGTCTTCCTCCGATGATAGAATATTTTCATTTACCCCCATATTACGGTATGCTCAGGTATTAAGTATGTTGATGATTCTAGCCACATTGTTCAAAAGCATACTTTCAATGTGGGTATTTGAAATTCGCAATATACCATAAACCGCAGCTGAAATTGTCTATGTAGTTGTGAGGACTTTTAGTGAATTTTTCATCCTTCGAAGGAGTACACCTTAAACTGCGAGAGGATTTCCTAACCCCATAGTAGGGTATATTAAATGTTCGATCTGACCGGAAATAAGCGTTTTTACTTTATTTAGAGTTATTAACATTTAAATTCAGGACACTTGATGCAATGTGCCATAAGTGAGTAAAATCATGGATTCCGTTCCCTCTATAACTTTCTTTAAAGTTCTGGCTGTTTCTCGGAACTCACCGAAAAAAATGGGTCAATATGTCCCACTTTTAGAGGTGCCAAAGTTTGAAGATATTCTGTTCGTGTTATATTTATACAAAATTGTGAATTGAAGAAGAAGTTAACAATTAGTGTTTTTCTGAGCCGGCATATCTCTCCCACTTTTCGAGATTTAAGTTTTTATACCCTCAGCCATATGTCTAGAGCGGGTATACATTATTTGATATGGCCAAAACGTACCTCTTCGAAATAACAGTTTTAGACCCTAGGTCTATTTGGACCAAATCCGTTAGGATCTAGCGATGTCCGTCTGTCTGCCTGCTGGCTGTTGGACGCGAAAACTCTCGATGGGATTTTTCGATTTAATCCAAACCAGGTACCTCGTAATATTATTGTCAAACTTATATCGATTTCGGAGATAGGCAATATCTGTCCACTCCTTCAGGTACCGCCCTACAAAAGGTCAACATTTTGAAACATAATAATTTAGTGCACAGAAAGAAAAAGGATTACTCGATTTTGCTCCAACTTTGCAAATCCTAATATTTGTATCAGTGCAAGGTACGGTGTACCTCCCCCACAAAGGGACAAAATATTGAATAATTATAACTCTTATAAAATGTGATGTAGACTCCCATTGTCTTCAAATTACGCACATCGCAATATTTTTATTACCACCCAAGGTCAGGGGTGAAGATGGAATATATTGGTCCACTCCTTCAGGTACCTTCCCCTCAAAGAATCAACATTTTAAATATCCATGAAGCTAATACAATACGAAATTAATTACAGATTCAATTTATACTTGACACATCTCAATATTTCCATCAACACAAGATCTGTTATAAAGATGGTATAGATCGAACCATTCCTTCTGGTACTTCCCCCACAAAGGATCAAAGTTTTGAATAACCAAAGCGACCAGCCTCTGGCTCTCTTTATATTTCACACATTCCATTATTTCTAACACAAGATCTGCTGTGACGATTGGATATATCGGTCCACTCCACTTCTGGTACCTCCTCCCCCAAAGGGTCACATTTTTGAGCATCCATGAAGCTCATAAAAAGCGAAATTAACATCCGATTCCATTCAGACTTGGTACATCGCAATACGAACATCAAAACAAGATCTGTTATATAGATGATAGAGATCGGGCAATTTCTTCTGGTACCTCCCCCACATATGGTTCAAGATTTTGAAAAACAACGCACATTTCAACATTTTTTAAAAATTATCACATGTCTCATATAAAGTGAAGGAGTTACCCGATATTGCCCCAACATGGCACGTCGCAATATTTATATCATAATTATTTAGGTCCGATGTGAAATGGACAATATTGGAACATTCCTTCAGAGCCCACTCCACAGAGGGTCAAAATATATTGAAATAATCGAACATTGGCTGAGGGTATATACCTGTCGGCAAAACCGACTGATACTATTTAACTTTTTTTATGAATCACATTTTTGCTCTTTTCATATGGTACCCTCTGTACCCATTAAGCCGATGGTATAACTAAGAAATAGGACAACATTCAACACTCTCTGCAATACAAAGCAGCATATTTCTTCATCGCCTTTATATATCGCATGAAAATCCAAAGTTAACCCACAAATTAACCTTTCGTTCAGGAATTGTGGCCACAAATAGTTGGCCCAGACACCAGACAATCGAGCGAATCATTGCCGGTTAATTAATCTGTTGCTGGCATATCTTCATCACGTCTAATTTGAATAGCAAGCAATTAAGACGACATTCCTCCAATCGTGGCCATTTAAGGTCCGATACCGCATCTGGATAATAAAACAGTGTTTTATGAAGCGACAATTAATTACTTCTAAATGCAAATAAAAGCGACTGAACAATGAACAATGCCTGAATGCGTAATGAACACAACGACAGGCATGTGTGCGTGAGTGTTTGTGTGTGTGTGCCCGCGTGAATGCAGCACGTATTCATTCATTAACTCATTTTGTCAGTTTGCCATTCATCGATCGATTCCCTGATTCATGGTGCCGCAAAAAAAAAGTTCATTCATTTATGACAAGCGATACTTACTTGGCCTCTTTTGTTCCTGAATGTAGCGTTCTCGAGCTTGCTGAACTCCCTTTTCATTGCCAAGTTCCTGGTATTTTTGCTCCGTCAGTACACCGGGTGCATCACCTTGCATTTCCTCGTCGACCGCATTGCGATAGGGCTCGTCATCGACATAATCATCCTGCAAGAAAATCGAAGATGGAGATAATCTATTACAAAAATATCAATGGCAGCATTTCAAGAGCTCAGTAAATTGGGGGAGGGAGAGTGAAGGCAAGTTGGTCATCCATTGGCAAACCCACTTGCACTTGGAGAATGACACAGTTTAGAATGGAATGAGTAGCAGCTGCAATCTTTTTTGTTTTTGTTTTCGATTGGCACTGACAACAAGAACTACTGACCACCGCCACCACCACGAGTGAAAAATGATTGCAATGATAGCTTGTAGTGTTGGAGGTGGCAGAGGGACGGACATTTATTGCTTATATCTGATAAGAAGGAAGCAACATTGCGATAACATTCCAACCACCCAGTGCGACCCATTTTCTAAAGTTTCACCATTCGTTCCAGCAAAAAACAATCGACACCACCACTACCAGCACCAGCAATGGAAGATTATTTATCGTTTCCCGTGTATTGAGCACTCTCAAGTGGAATCACTTCAAAGAAACCAATACTGCTGTTGCCGTTCCTGCCACCACTCCGATTGTTTCAATGGCCATAGGAGAGCGTCCACCATTCAAAGGCAAAGGAAAACCAGTAGTCAAGTACACAACAAATGGGAATCACAAGTGGGAATCTACTATCGATGAACTAACAGCGTTCAGCTGCTGGCCAAAGTAGCTTTCATTCTCAAGTTACTGTAACCAGTTGGAGCGAAGGTTGAACAAATGTTTGTCATGTGACCAAGAGCTCAAGGTGGATGGATGTTCGTTCCACAGCGCCAGAACAAGGAGATATTACAAAAGAATAGTTTTCAACATTTTGGTGTAAATTTAAGTTAAATTAAATTTCTTCAAAAATAATAAGAATTTCTTAGTCTTCCTGGGGGTGTGGCTGCATGCCATTATTTGCATAATAAAATCCTTGGAAATGTTCTCTTTCTCTCTGATTTTTGCAGAACAATTGCAATGCAATTAACTCGTTATGTCCAAGAGCTAAGGAAGGAAATAACCTAGATTTTCCACTGGTATTCTTTTGGAGAATTCGTTGCACCATCCAAGGATATACGTAATGGGGGGTGGGGGACATTAAACGTTAAACTTAAATAAAAGCACAGTGTGGTGGCAAGAGGACTTAAATGTATACCTCGTTAAACACGTGAGGTCGACATAATCTGTTTACCGTTTAAATTCCTCGAAATCAGATCTTGAAATTCCTTATCATTTAAAGTTAACTGGAAATGCATACTTGAAAGAGAGTGGAGATTTTTTTCTGGATAATTGTTTTTTTTTTTAATATTACCACGTTCTTAAAGTGTTACTAACTTAGTTTTGAATTTTTATGTTAAAAAAATAAAATAATGAAAAGGCTTCTTTTTCATGAATGTGCAAGGCTGCCTGGTTAAATTGTCGCCATTAAGGATAACCACATTTTATTCTTTTTAAAACATGCAGCTGGTGGTGGGCACAGGTAGTTGGAAATGAAGTGAATAAAATTAAGAGGATAATTGTCACAACACTTTAAAGAAAATCCGATAGAACCATGTTGGTCGACAAAGGATTTATTCGTTTATTTCACAAGACATATAAGGGACATTTAATGAGTAGTCACAGACAAAGAAAAAGAAATACTAAAACATAAACTCATATAGAATAAAGTCTCAAGGCAAACTTATATTTTTAGTGCTCAAAAGGACGAGCCATTTGCATACGATCGAGAATATTCTATTCAAAGTGTCACAGGATATTTGAAAATGTGCAGGCTGATCTTTTTAGCCATATAACTGAGTTTATCATTGCCTTTGAAATAATCGAAAATGAGCCTCCTCAAAGCATTTTTGGAGCATGGGGTGAAGTTGATAAGTTTTGCTGTCTTGGGTTGTGATACGAAAGACATCATACGAATAGTTGATAATAATACTAAAATTTTAAATGTCGGACTACAGGTTATCAAGTCGTTAAACATTTCATTATGGAAAACAGTACCTATATATCGACGTCGGCATGAACACACTTATAATTAAACGAAGAAACTAGTTGTTGCAAGTATTTAATTTGAGTACTTCAGCACAGTATTTAAAAATCTCTCACATACGTTATCTCGATATAAAATATCATCCGATATTACTTAAAATAGCACATTTTGGAATTCCGGCTCTTCGTATGCGCTCAATAACAATGGTATTTAATGCAGTACCATTTGTGGTGATTCATTCGGAATTCAAGCGTCATAGTGTGATTTCTTTATATTTGGCTGGAAAAACACAAGTGGCTAACGTTAGAGCACTCCACCATTTAAATGTGAATAAATCTGTTGTGTCTCGTACCATCGCTCGTTACCGTGATACTGGTAGCGTAGCTGACGTCAAGGAAGTGGGCGGAAGAAAACAACCCCGCGTCGCAGTGGCCGAAAAATGGCTCGTTAAAATTCCAAAAAGGGCAAGGATTTTCACCGCAACAGAAAGAAAATAGACTCAAAAGAGCGAAAGTAGTGAACTACTAAATTTGGTTTTCTCCATTGAGAAAAAAAATTGTTGTCCATCAGTTTACTTGCCAAAGAGGTCAGCTGAAAATGTGCACCTTTGGTTAGCCACCAGAACTCAAACGCCGGTCATGGTGATGGTGTGGGCCGACATAACAGCTGATGGTCGCTCTCCGCTCGTATTAATCGACCAACAGGACTCTGCACGCGCCACCCAAGAATGGTTACAAAATGGCGTTCCTCTCTTCATTTCCAGCGCACAATGATCACCAAAATCTCCGGATACCAATCCGTTGGGCTATTGTGTCAAGGGTATTTGGAAAGCAAGGTTGGCACTAAAAAATACCAAAGTGTCGATCACCTCAAGCAAGCGCTTCACCAGGAATGGGCCAAAATACTGCAGAGCAAAAATTTTACCTAACGTACACATATACCCAACATCCCTACTATGGTAAAATATTTTGTACGTCCGTATTTTCTAAAAAAAAAACAGGATTGATTTTGTCCATTTTTTTATGTCTGCTTTTTACTCAAATTTCATTCCATTAAAAATTTTAAATTATTAACTTCTTTGAGTAATTGTGCCATGATTTCTCTAGTTTTTAGAATGGATCGGAATTAGAAACTAAAAGCTCGTATCCTTGCGTCCTTGCAATTTTTTTTTGTCACAGATAAATGTTTAATCTCTGGCTCACTTGAAATTCGAAATCGGGTGAAACACATCTATATATGGGACCTCTTTCATTTGTAAAGTGTAATCGAGCGTATCTTAATCGAAAACTTGTCATCCTACATTCTAAAAATAAAACATATCTAGATGCCAAGGCCAGCAAGCTTTGCTCAAATTTCGATTTTTTGCTAATCAACATTTTCCAATGTAATTTTCAAATCAACACTACATTTTGACAAATTACCTGCCATATATACACATAAATATTTTTTCTACGAATAACCACTGAAATAACTCGCCATTACCGTTTTCATGTAAATGAAATGTTGTGCAAATTTGCCAAAAAAAAAGGTAACGCTTAATTGAATTCCAATATTAAAAGTCATGAATAATTTAGAAGACAGATGAACAAGCAGTCATTTGTTGTTATACTTGTAAATATTTTTGCAAAAACAAACACCCACCCACCAACCGGCAAGAACATTTTTGAAACAAAGTCACATAATTTTTGATGTGGGTGACTTTTGGAAAGACACATATGAGATTTGTTTGAGTTCTTGAGAACTGGATTTTATGGAAAATATCTTAATTGGCAAAGTCAAGTGAATAATAAAGGTATATTCGGATTGAAAACTACTCTTTTCAGGTCCAGGCTCTAAAATTTTTGAAAGGAAAAGAAAAATTAATAAAATACGAATTTTACTAAAGTTGTATTAATTTATGTGTATCAAGAGCATGTAGCGGATTTTATTCTCGTTTAAATATGCTTCCTTTTTTTAAAGAGTTAAAAAATAAAGAATTAACTTCTCGTAATACCTATATACATACCAACCCCACCAATAAATACATTTCGCATGTTTGCAACATGGACATGTATGAACATACATACATTTTGCCCAAACTCACGCCTTCAAATCCCAATCACATTAAAAGAAATGCCACACTCAAATCCGATAAGAAGTCGTTTAAGAATTTTTAAATCCTCTCTTTTTCTCTCGCCTTCTGTGATGGGGATTTATGTGGATTTGTCCGTCAGACAGTCAGCGTCTTGGCGGTGGTTCCAGCGTTCCATTATTAGTACATTTTTGTATTGTTGCAATCTTTTACGAGGCGACAGACATTCCGTTTGTTTTTGTTGTTGTTGCCATTTTTAACAGTCAATTCATGATCCTTTGACAATGCCATAGAGAAGAAAAAAAAATCAAAAATAATAAAAGAAGGTGTTTGAACATTGTCAAGGTGTGTCTGACGACGATGACAATGATTGGGTGTTTTTTTGCCTGGTCGGGTTATAGCGAAATGTACGTTCATCTACAGAATAATTGAAATTAACGAAAGACCGTAAAATTGGCATAAACTTTGTCCAAACATTTAGGCCGTTCCTTGTTTAAAATTGTGTTGTTTGTTGGGCATTATATACTTAATACATATGTGTGTGTGTGTAATTATTAATATTGGCAAGACCCTGGATATGTTGTCTTCTTTTCGACATTCCAAGGGGTATGACATACATATTTGAAATGATACGTGAAAATCAACAAACTATTTATGAGGTTCTCACTTCATAATTGAAGAAAATGTGAATAGATGTGTTACCCTAAAGGAAACTGTTTATATTTCAATTCCTACATAAGCTTTTTTACTTTCGAACTTAGGGTATATATTTCGATTTAATTGAATTTTGTTGTTGAAAGATGAGGGCGAAATTCAACTATTGAAGGATGTTCGATGTTGGGCTTATTTTCTATTTTCTTCACGACAAAGGAAACGAGATAGTTATATCCTCAGGTATATGGCTAGGGCTAGGGTATATACCATTTGATACGAGCAAAAACGAAATAACAGTTCTAGACCATAGTCACTTGGGA